CCAAACCTCCAACCGTTTGCCTTGGAGGCGGCCCAGATGGGCAAGGTGAGGGCAAAGAGCAGGTCGGCCAAGGCCAGGTTCAGCAGGTAGACGTCGGTGACAGAGCGGCTGACCCTGCTGTATAAGATGACTAGCATCACCAGGGAGTTTCCCAGCAGGCTCAGCAGGAACACCAGGATATAGGTGACGATCACAACATAGCTGTTGATTTCCAGGGATTCTGGCCGACATGGAGCAGTATCAGGTAGAAAAGGGGGTAGGTCAGTGCCATAACTGTAATTACTCAACTCTTCACTGAATAAATCTTCAAAGTTGTAACTCTCCAAGTCCACGTCTCCCATTTTTGAGGTGAGCTTAAGTTTTGGCCTAAAGCAGAGAGATGAGGGTTACTGCACAATAAGTTCTTCCCAGATTCTTGCCCACCCTCCTGAAAAACTGGGACAGGATTCTTCTCATTGGCTTGCATATTATATGGAAGTATTTTCCCTTCAAATTTGTAAGTGGTGGGGGCTCTGTGGTCCTGAGAAAAGGTCAGTGATAAACTGTACGTTTTATGAAAAGATTACAGTTCCCTTCAATATCAGAGAGAAGTTCTCAGCACCTTTCATGACATCAGCATCACCCAATACTTTGTAGAAAGTTCTCTTTGGATAAACCTTACAGGACATGGAATCCCTCAGCGGTGGGCATCTTTGGCACATTAAGAAAGAGATTCACAAGAGTAATGTGGGTAAGGGTGTGGAGAAGTTGGAACCTCAGACACAGCTGGTGGGAATGCTAGATGGCTTAACTGCTTTGGAATAGTTTGGCAGTTACTCAGTTAACCCCAGAGTTATCATATAAGCCAGGTATCCCCATTCTAGGTATGTAACAAAGGGAATTGAAAACATATAGCACACAGAAACTTGTACACAAATGTTCATAGCAGCATTCTTCATGATAACCAAAAAGCAGAAACAACCCAAATGTTTAATGATAAATGAATAAACAAATTGAGGTGTAGTCATTCACAATATAATGATGCTTTGCTCCATGACATACCACATATATGGCAGTGGAGACATAAGATTATAATCCTGTATTTTTACTATACTTTTCTATGTTAGATATGCAAATACTTACCATCGTGTTATACTTATCTACAGTATTCAGCACAGCAACATGCTGTATTGGTTTAGAGTCTAGGAGCAATAGGCTACAATATATAACCCAGTCATATGGCAGGCTGTCTCATCTAGGTTTGTGCAAACACACTCAATGATGTTCATACAATGCATTTCTCAGAATGCATCCCCATCGTTAAGCAGCACATAAATTCACACATACAGTCACAAGAAGGAATGAAGTACTGGATTAACACCACATGAATGGACCTTGAAATTCTATGTGAAAAAAGCCAGACACAAAAGTCTTCCCACTGTATGGTTCTATGTATGTGAATGATCAGAAATAGGTGAAATTGGTAGAGACAGAAAGTAGTTGGTTGTTGTCATGGGCTTGGGAGAGGGGGAAATGTCAATGGGTTCAGGGTTTCTCTTTGGGGTGATGAAAGTGTCCTGGAATGAGTGGTAAGGGTGATACAATATACTAAAAACCACTGAATTAGTGTACTTCTTTTTTGTTTGTTTGCTTTGTGTCAGAGTTTCACTCTGTTGCCCAGGTTGAAGTGCAGTGGCACGCTTATGGCCACTGCAGCCTTGACCTGCTGGGCTCAGACGATCCTTCCACCTCAACCTTCCAAGTAGTTTGAACTACAGGTGCACACCACCACGCCTGGCTAATTTTTTTCATTTATTGTACAGACGAGGTTTCGCCAAGTGGTCCAGGCTGGTCTGGAACCCCTGGGCTCAGGCAATCCTCTCCTTCAGCCTCCCAAAGTGCTGGGATTACAGGCATGAGCCACCACGCCTGGTCGAATTGTACATGACTTTGTGGTGTGTGATTTTTATCTAACTCAGCAAAAAAAAAAAAAAAAAAAAAAAAGAGATTAACTAAAGGGTGCACAGCCTTGCAAAGTAAATACAAATGTTACAACAATAACCACAAAAAGTCTTAGGAAGATTTTCTCTTTAGCAGAAGGCAGCCTCTGTTACTGTCAACCACAGGTAGCAAAGAAGAAAGCTGAATATGATTAAGTAAAACTGAAAAAATAATGTCCTTTCCCCCAAGGGTGATGGAATTCTTACCCTTCACCTTTCTGAGAAGGTGTTCCTTTCTCCTCTAAGTGAAAGGAGTCAGATAAATTGCCTTCTCAGCATGTCAAGACCACAGAGAGAGGAGATTCCACCAGTCGGTGACCTAGAGAGATGTGGTGGTGAGGGCGAGGCCCTGTCTGGCCAAGAGGCTGGGAGGTAGTGAGAGACTGAGTGGTACAGCTGGCTTGACCAGTGAGGTTAGCAAAACCTGAAAGCAGTCCCATGGTCAAGATCAAATTTGCTCAGAGGGCTGGGGTTTTATCCAACAAAGTCACAACGTTAAGAGTGGGTCACTTCTGAGAGAGGATGATCGGAAATGCTTGTAAGGGAACAAATGACCTGATAGAGAAGAGGCCCACCTCTGACAATGACTGAGGGCATTGTGGGTGCAGGGAGTTTGCAACTTTAGAGAGCAGAACCTCACGTGTATGAGCATCGGCTGTGAGAACACAGGGCTGGGGCTCTTGCAGAAGCTGCCTCATTGGCAAAGACAGCAGTAGTAGTGAATGTTTCAGAGGTAAGTCCAGTGCTCAGCTGTGCTGGGGTGGGCTGGAGGTGTATGAGTGAACTCGAACTCCCAGGCATCAAGGGTCAACTTGAGGTTCCAGAAGGAGAGCATGAGAGTCAGGTCAGGAGGTGGAGAACTCAGGAGAGACAACCAGGACAGGCCAATGATCTCCTACTCCTGGGGTAGGGAGAGGGAAGCTTGTTGTTGGTGTTTGTTGGTTAATTTACCAGTCTCTAGAGAGGATGGTTTGGTAGTTAAAGGGACAAACTAAGGGACGGGAGATGACACATCTGAGATCTGCTTTGTGCCTCGAAGTTATAGGCTCTCCCTTGGTCATTACAAATAGATATAATCAGTTCCCATGTATAGAAGACTAAGGCACAAAAGGTATAGAGAATGGTATAATGGACATTGGAGACTCCGAAGGGGGTTGGTGGAAGGGATGGAGGACAAACTTATCTATTGGGGACAAGGTACACAGGTGGGGGTGGTGGGTGCCCTTAAAGCCTAGACTTCTTCACCACTATACCATGAACCCATGTAACCGAATTTTTTTCCCCTCTAAAGCTATTGAAACAAACAAACAAACAAAAAATATATATATAAAATGAAGACACAAGGAGACCTGGCATAAAGCCTGAGATCACAGGGTGGATAAGTGGTACAGCGAGGATTCCAACTCCACCTGTGTTATTTTCTGCCTATAGCCCTACTTCTTTGAGATAAATCACATCTCATATATGACATATATTTGTAAGCGAAGTTGTTTTGTTTTTTTTTGAGTCAGGGGTCTCACTCTGTCACCCAGGTTAGAGTGCAGTGGCATGATCACGACTCACCATAGCCTCAACCTCCTGGGCTCTGGTGATCCTCCCACCTCAGGCTTCCAAGTGGCTGGAACTACAGGTGTGTGCCACCACACCTGGCTATTTTAAAAATTGTTTTGTAGAGATGAGGTCTTGTAATGTTGCCTCATGGTCTCAAACTCCTGAGCTCAAATAATCCTCCTACCTCTGCCTGCCAAAGTGCTGGGATTACAGATATAAATCACCATGCCCGGCTTACTTGTAAGCTAAGTTCTTGAGATATCATTACGCCAACCTGTATTTCATTCACTCACATTGTTTGATTTTTTTGGTATTGTTTTCTTTTGCTACTTTTTAGACCCAGAATAAAGAAACAGCTTGTGCAGGAATGATAAATCAAATGTCCTCTGACTAGCTGGTTCCTACATGACCACCCAGTCATGTTTTCTGTGATCAAGTGGGGGTTCTTTTATTTGGTGAAAATGCCAGTCCCTTAGTGACTCATGGTAGTTCGGAAACTCCATGGATGGGATAAATGATAATTTATTGCATGAAAATGCTAAGAAAGAGGGGCATTTGCAAGATCCCAAGCATTTAAGGCTATCTTTTTAACAACAACAAAAAATTCAAACGTCATTTTAGTACAATGCCAGTATTCCTTCTCCCTATAAATAGAATCCCATGGAAAGGGAGAGTCAACAGTGGCTGAACCATTCTCAGACTCAAACCTCATGCAGTGAGGAGCATTAGCTGAGTCTGGAAAGGCTATAGGGCCAGGGAAGGGGTGGGCGGCAAGTTGCCCCGAGGGGTTGTTGGAGAGGGTTCTTAGGGAGGAGGGACAGAGGTTCCCCCCACCCCACGACAGAGAGACCTCACGGGAGAGAATGAAGAGATCAAGGGGTGAGGGTGAGGGCCCACTGAGGGTGGGGATAGATGCTTGGGACAAATGCAGGCTGGGTGTCAAGGGGAACAGAGATATTCTAGGTGGTGGGAAGGGTGGGTGTTCCAAGACTTACCAGGATGCTGAGCTTTTCACCTGTAGGACACCTCCAGGAGGACAGCTGTGACCAATGAAAGGGCGGTGGTGTTGAGAACCCAGAGGAGGAAGTGAATTGTGCATTACGTTGCTCAATTCAGGGGTGGAGCTCCTGAGAGTGTGGGATGCTTTTGATAACTTTGAATAATTAATTTGCAGGTCAGCTCTTGAATGCATAGTCATTTCATGGGCTCCTAGAGCTTATATTGGGAAGAGACCTGAGGGGTTTTCTAGCCAGTCTTTCCATTCACAGTGAGGAAACTGAGGCTGAGACGAAGGAAGTGGTTTGCCCAGGAGCGCATGCGTTTCTCTCCTCTTTGGCTGTATCTCACATCCGCTGGCTCCTCCATCTGCCCTGTCTGAGTCTCCCCACACCCCAGCTGCCTCAGGCTTCCCCATGGCACCATTCAGCAGCTCTACTGCCCTTGAGTGCCCTCCACATGTTGAGGGGGGCAGCTCATTAAGACAGCAGAGATGGGACTTAGGCTTCTGATGAGCCTGGTCTTTCTTTCCGGGACCCAATGCCTCTTATCTCAACTCCACTCCTCCACTCTACCACTCCTCCCCTCACTGTCCAACCATCCGCACTGACTTTGAGCCCATCTTAGGGCATCGCTATTCTTTCTTGGTTTATATGCTTGGCACTGGGGCTAAGGACCCCAACTCCGCAGAAGCTGCCACCCCTGGAGCCCAAATCCTCTGATGTGGAAAGAAAGACTTTTGGTAAAAGTGAAGATGCCACCCACGCCCAAACACATTTTGAAAACAGTATCGAGTGACCCTAAGAGCGTATTTT